AGCCAGCTCCCACTGTGTGTTCCACTCAGCACTGCCGCAAATTTATTTGTATTTATTTAATTTCCAGTGAAACATGCTCTCCTAACAAAGAATACTTCTTGCAACAAGGTATTTCTGGACACGTTTGTAAAATCATTATAAAAATGCTCTGTTCCACAAACTTCGCCTCACAGTGTTCATTTACATTTTCTTGACGAGTTGTGAGCCATATGCCCAGTTGTATAATTCTGGTGTATTTTGTTTATTTTGTTGGTCATATTACAAGAATATTATACATGCAAATTTCATTCAGGGCACAGAGTGCTTTTGAGATTTTGTACGAATAAAAACATTTCTGCCTCTCTGCATGTGCTTCTTTCCTGTGTTACTCGAGAAGAGTTGGGATTTAGGGTCCTGCCTCAGAATTGATTGACAAGAACAGTAACAAAACTGAGATCAGTTCACTTGTAAAAATATAAAGGACTGTGAATTGCAGTGTTGAGGGTATCACAGCTCTGTGACTCCCTTTATGCGTGCTCAGCAGTTCCTTCTTCCTTGCTATTCAACACATTTTTCTCTTATCCAGCACAATTCGTAGAGCTCAAAGAGAAAATAAATACTGTCATCACTGAGAGCCTTCTGCTGTGGCCAAGCTGCAGCATTTAATATTTGAGGAAGAACTCATTAGGGAGGAAATATGCTTCATGATTGCCCTTAAACAGCTCCTCAAGCCCATTTCTCTAAAGGTGTGGGTCTATGCTAGGCTCAACCACCCCAATTCTGCTGCCTTCCCACTGCCAGCTGTGCCATGGGCTGGCTCAGGGAGCCGGTGGGGTTGGATTTGGTCCCTCAACCGGCTTCCCCACAAGCACCAGCGCCTCGGGCTCCTCCAGCCTCACTGCACAGGGGTGCTCCTCAAAGCAGAAATATAACAATTGCTGTTTCATCAGGAAGGAAAGACAAAGACAAGAGAAGGCAGTGTCCTATTGAGGGAGATGCTCTGGTTGCAGACAGGTGTGGAGCTGGGCAGTTGGGTTTAGGCAATACCCACCTCTGCCTCACAGCACGAGGAGTGGAGAGGGCGTCCTCACACTGTGCCTGCAGTTTGAGTTGTCCTGCTGCCCAGTGCTGTTAAATTTTTAGGTCAGCTTAATTTTTAACTCCACTGCTCCTAGTTAAAATCATTTTCTGAATGGAAAAAAAACAAAATCAGGGGAAGGGAAAGTGTAATTTCTTCTGATTCTGGCAAGTGGAAAAATGAATCTAGTTTAAAAATTCCTTACCTAAAAAAGTTGGGTGATTTTAGTTTTCTTCTTATCCTGTCTTTATCTCAACTATTTGTAATCTGGAAGCTGCTTTGATTTTTATTTATCTACACAAGCTGTAAAAATCTTGTACTCATACTTTCTTTTAGAGACCAAAGGATCTTTTCTCTCAGGAGGTTAGGGATCTTCGTGTTGTTTTTGCTGTATCATCATTAAAAACAGCACTCTTACCATTTCTCTCTGTACCATGTCTCCTGTGGAGGGAGACATTACATTTTTGTAGCCAACAGACACGTTTGACCAGTATTCTTGAAATTGGGCTGAGTGTGCCTTCAATTAGGATCCAAGCAGAGCTCTGAAACGGGCCAAGTCTCCGGCTTCTGAGAAGCACCTGGCTCTTCCCAGAAACCGTCATGGTGATTTAATCTCAGCTTTTATCTTTAGTTTCTAGGATACTGCAGATAGTTACTACTTTGAGTAAACCCCCTGAATTAAGCTGGTCAGCTTCTGGGGGTAAATATGTGTAAGTATCTACTTAGCCCCTTGTGTGTAGGGGGGCACCGTGCATGGGATATGTCTTCCTTTCTCAGGACTTAAAGTTGAGGTCCTGAGTGCCTACAGAATCTCCTACCCAATATCTAGCTGGGCCTTCACAGGAGAAGTGAAATTGGTTCCATTTTTTTTTGCCACTGTTTAATCTGCCCATTAATCTGCCAAGGCATATCCAAGTTTAAATTGATTAAAGTGTTCTCATTTCCTGTCCTGAACATGTTGTGTAATAGCCGCCTTTGGCTTTTTTAAATATTTGTTCTGTTTCACTCCAGCACTGGTGGGTGAAGTAATTACCATGTCAGATCAGTTGTAGGGTGCCTTGAAATCTGCCAGGCCCTCTGCACTGCTGGGGCACGATTACACCCTGCCATGTACAGTTGCTAGGTCATGGGCAATATTTATGAGTTGATGGAGGAAGAGAGATCTTCACCAGCTGTTACCAAGAGGGGGCTGCTATAGCAGTTTTCATGTTTCAGTCATAAGACTTATTTTGGAACAAAAGTATACTACTAGATGTTGTTCGTTTCATTGCCTTCAGTAAACTTTTCCAGATCTTCAGCATCAATGTGTGTTGGTTTGGTTTTAGTCCTGGGGTTCAGTTTGTAAATACTTTGAGAGCAAGCAATGAAAAAATGTTAGAGGCTTAGAGATCTTTCCACGGGTCCTGGTCAGTTTGGTGTCATCATCATCTAAGCACAGGCAGACTGGACTGGAAGAGATCTCTTGGGTCACGGCTCCCTTGTTTTCGCCTTTCACAGCCACTGTCGTATTACCCTTTTATAAGCGCATTCAGCTTCATCTCAGTGCTTGGGTTTTGTCCTCATTTGGGAAACTGCTCCTAATGTTGCAATTCTGAAACAGCCTTCTGAGCTTCTGTAAATTTCCTATTCCTGTCCTGTTCAGAAGAAAGGACAACCATGCTCTGGGGTCTAAGCCTAAAGGCAGGAACAAGATTGGACTCTGCAGGTTGGACAAAAACTGTTGCTAGCGTCTCCTGGAGGTACATTGCTCCTTCTTAAAGCTCTCTGCTTTCAGAAACAAACGACACAAACATGAGATCAGAAATCGTGTGCTTGAATTAGCTAATAAATAATCCTTCCTGACACCTGCAGTGACAGAACGTCATCATCTTCATTACACGAAGTATGAGACTCTGTTTAGTACCAAACAGCATTTCACATTGGCCTTTTGTAAATCAGAGCTATCTCGATGTTAAAAGACAAATAAACACAGATTCAAACTGCAAATTTGGGTAATTTGCTCCACCTACTCAAAAGCCAGCTATTTCAGGAGATAATTTTAGTGATTTACGATCTCGTCTCATATTTCCAAAAGGCACTTCTTTACAAGTTTCCATTTTTTCCCCCATAATTTCATTTGTTTAGGTAATACATAAATCTATCAGAAAAGAGCGTCATCTGTAACCTCCGAGGCCCCTCAGTGACAGGCCCCATTGTCAAAGGCAGGCATTTTGCCAGGAAACTGTGACTCCCAGAGCGAGTGTGCAAGGTTAGGGGGAAAGTATAGCATTGCCAGAGAAACTGTATTCCAAGTGGATTTGTGTGGAACAACAACGATATCCAGTGACTGGTTAAATTAGCCACAGATGTGTTTTCTGTAACGCTGTCCAAGGAGATACACAGCACTTTAAGGCTTGGTTCACACATAATGATCTTCTGAAGTCAAATCAGATCCAAGCAAAATTGCATCGGTGCTAGGGAAGCTTTAAAGGAATTGTGTAATATGATTCAGACAAGTAGATGAATCAGTCTGCTGCGAACTAAACAAGGAGCGCATCGGTGAGAGATGAGGTAAGGCAACTTGCATAGAAGTGCGATATTTTGGTGTTAGCAGTTTGCTGTTAAAATTCGAGCTGTGGTGAATTGGCACAGGCAGTTAAAGGGGCGCATTGTGCCGGCCACCTGCCTGCAGCGTGCGGAGGAGAATCTCCCAGAGGTTTTCTTCAGCTTTTCCGAGCGTACGAGTGCTTGGTGTTGCACTTGCCGTCTCCATTGCTGTCTCGCTGTCCCTGCGCCACTCCTCCTACGCGGCAGTGCTGCCGATTTCAGTTTTTAAGAGGATAATTACTCTGCTGAGGGCAGTGAACTTACTAAACATTTGGAGAATTTTCACATGCTGAAAGCAGAGTACAGGTCTGAGACTTTTCTCACACAGGAGAGTTTTGTCTCGGCATCCCAGCTCAAGCAATGCGTGGGGTTTCTGTCCGGGATCAGTGCTGAGGAGCTCAGCTTCATCCTGCATCCAAGTTCTGACTCCTAAAGTTCAGACAAGACAGGCGGTGGAGAGAAGTCCTGCTCAGTTACAGATCTGCTTTATGGTTTAAAGTTCTGGGGAAATATAAGCAGCTTAGTTACTGTTCTAGTTGGAACAGGAGGCAAGAAAAGCTTTAGTTGTATTCTCTGACCTACTTCTTTACCACGTTATTTACTTGAAGTAAATTGAATATGGTGTATTAAACTGTTGTCATCAAAAAGGGCTTGCAAGTATTCAGCTTAGATTCTCATTGCAACAAGCATTAATAGTAAAAGTGGAATTTAAAAACCAGCAATTTTGTTGAGGAGTTGCAGGATAAATAAAAAAAAAAATCACAATAGAAATAACATATTCTTGTGGATGAAAATTTTTCTTAGCTGCTGTTTTTCAGAGTTTTATTAAATGTTTTTAATGCTATTGATGCAAATATGGAAATGAGTCTGTGTAGATTTGCTTTGAGTTTCCAGATAACAGTTCCAGTTAGTGTGTATTTATTCACAGAAATGTTATTTTCTTTTCGTTTGCTTGTTACCTCTTTGTAATAATTGGTTATAATCAAGCAATTTGTATTGCTTGCCATCCTCTGCTTCCAGTTTCCTCTCACTTGAGCTCTGAATTCTGCTTCAGGAGATTTTGCACTTCTATTCTTAGGAATTTTTGCAGGTCACATGCAAAGCCGTGTGTGTGTGTGCATGCATGCGTGTATGTCTTTAGACAGCGTACCAATAATTAGAATAACCCTGCAAAGTCATGGCTTTGCTTCAGGAGAACTCATTGCAGAAAATAAAACATGCCTTCATTTTCAGGTATATTTTCTGATTTTGACCTAAGAAAGCCAGACATCCTACAGCAGGCAGAATATGTTTGTTCTAAAATGTGATTATTTTGAAAATACTCATAGCTGTGGCATTATTTTTTCTCTCTTTGCAGGGTCTTCGTAAACAGAAGTTTAGCCATGGAAAAGATAAAGTGTTTTGGTTTTGATATGGATTATACACTTGCTGGTGAGTATCTTGAATTTTTTTGTCCTTGACTTAGTTTGGAATATTGCCTCTTGCTGAGACAAAACCAGAAATTGCTTGGGCTACTCCAGTTAGCAGGCGCTTCTGTTAGCAAATATATCATTCACTATATATCATTCACTATTCACACTTTCATTTTAGATGGGTCTCTTAAATTTGTTATCTGCAAGCTATATTTGATCACAAGTGTAGCTGTAGTACAGTGTCAAGTCATTAGGGGTGTCAAGGAAACCAAAGCTTAATAAGTATAATTGCTTCCTTAGATTCCGCTATATTTTGATATTGCCCCTGGTGCAAGCTTGGCTTTGAATAAGATTTCTTCTATCCTTGGTGCATGTGGAAGGCTACATCTTCGGCTAGCAGGGCCCTTTTTTAATAGGTTTTCCTCTTTCCCACTCCCCCGTTGGCCACATCAGTGACGCGTTTTGAGAAGGCAGGGGGAGCATTTTGTGTCAGCTGAACAAGTTAATTTAGAAAGCTTTGCCCTTTCATTATGGCAGATGGGCTTTGGGAGGTTGCATAAGACCTTTTAGTTTCATAAAATTTTTTGCATGGCTTCTCAATCTTTCAGATACAACAGACTGTCAACTTCTCTGAGACTTTCGATGAAGGGGGGGGTAAAGTTACCATTTTCTACATAGTCAGACTTACATGGTGTTATGCATTTTAAGGAACGAAAAGATAAAAAGCCCACTTCCACTTTCCTAGGTTATGGTATCATACAGGTTGTAACTGAGAATGTCACGTACAATCCTGCCTTTCTTCTCGTTCCCACTTCCAAGGCTGTGAATAAAACGTTCCTACCACCCTTGATATTTCAACTTGGAATTGTTGTGAATATAAACAGAGAAAAGATGAGGTAGAGTGTCAGGGTCACCTAATAATAGGTTAATGTAGTATGTCAACTATGGTCATCTAGTTACTGTGTCCACTGAGAAGAAATGAGAGATGAGTGGTGTTGGTAGGGACAGTGTGGGGGTCACAGGAGCTGGGGTTAGTGGTGAAGCAAAGGGCAGGAAGGTTTCCATGTGCTCGTGGTTCAACTCAGTGCTGCAAGGAGCAGTTCTGGAGGCTGTGACAGATAATTGCAGTTTACATTTAGGTCACTTGCTTTTGTTCTTTTAAGCAGTTATCCATGAGGCAGTAGTTATATATAAAAGGTTTAGTTGTTCAACACGTTATTTATACCTCTGTTTAAAGTTCCTGCCACTTTTTAAGTCATGAACTGTACTGTTGTTAATCTGTGCTGGATCTGGCTGCAAGCGCGTGCTTTCGGTGTTTGTGTTCCCCAGCTGTGACAGCCTTGTGGCAGTACTTTTAAGGAGTGCAGAACAGTTGGTCAGGAACAAATACTTTAAAAACAAAAAGGTTATGGATTTCACTTCCGTAACGATAGAACAACTTCTGTGCCTTTTGCAAACTGACGGCATTTCCCAAGGCCTCGTGTGATCCCAGTGGGGCTGGCATGGAGCATGAAGCGTGTTGCTAACTTTCATCCTGACAGAAGGAGAGCTTCAGCACTATCCTCACTCCTCCGACTGTTCATTTTACTCAAGTGTTGCTTGTTCCTGTAAACACAGAGCGAATGTGTCATTATCCACAAAATGATGCTTGGTTTGATGAGAAGTAAAAATGTGAATGTTTCGAGCATCCTAAAGCAGTTCCCAGGGACACGGAAACCTGGGCCTTCCAAGACTGGAAGATCAGAGTGCTACAGTTAAGCAGGCAAAGTCAGTGCATTCAGGGGAGTTGAGTGACAAAGTATGGTGCAGAAAAAGAAATGAGATGTGGTCCAGGCAGTAAAGTGGAAATCTGGACCGCTCTTGGGTCTGCTGTCCTATGACTTCTTCGGTGGTACCACAGAGATAGCATTTGCAGACCATTTTAGTTGTGAGAATGTATTTAGGTTGGAAAGCCTTTTGCAGATGAAAAGCATTATGCCTGGTAAGTACTATTTCCCTTTTTTGGACTCGACTGGGAAATTAACATATAAAATTACCTGTTTGTTTTCTAGTGTCTCAGAGTCATCCTTTCTTCTCCATGCAGGTTTTTGTTATCTGACCATTATTTGCTACATATAACTGTCGCACACAAGAAAAATAACTTATTCATTGCAGGGACTTTAAAGAATCTAGTGTTAGAATGTGATTATAATTATAATTAATTAATTGGAAATTATAATGAAGAAGTGGGGCAGTGAAGTATTACATTAGTATGTTGTAGTGCCTTCATTAGAGCCTGTTGTGTTTTCTGTCTGGACATGTTATCCCTTACATGCTTTTTCACATGGACATGCTACTGAAACAAGAAAAAAACAATATTAAAAGCCTGTTTATCTGTAATTTAACATCTGGAAATAGTATCTGCATAGCAGATGATGCATGCTGAGCAGAAGCCTTTTGGAGGCCATTCAAGACATGTAAATAGACCAAGGAAGAAGGGAAGCATCTCCAGTGTCATCAGCTCCTCGTCTAGTTTTTCTGCATTTGTACTTTCAGACATTGCTAAGTCGCTTTTCTGTAAAGTTGTTTAAAAATATCCCCAGTACAATCTTCATATTCAGTGAGTGAAGGAGTCAGAGCCATTAACGATGCAACATCCTTTCCCCACTCTGTTGTGAATCTTCGCATCAGGAATAAACTGCTGCCATTCATCCCATGGCTGACAGTCGTACACTTTGACATCTCAGAAGAGTGATTATTTTGGAACAATTCAAATTTCCTGTCTTGTGAAGAGGAGGCTGTGGTGTCAGTAAAAGAAAACACATTGTCACTCTTCTCTCTTTCTTCTTCCCAAATCAGTGGCCACTCGTAGCACCAAAAATCTTGCTCAGGAGGTGGTTCAGTACCAGAGAAGTCAGAATCACTTGACTTATTTTGAACTTTAGAAGCTTAAGGCAGTTTCGGTCTTGTAGTTTATGAGTTTAAGGACACAAACCTACTTAAAATAACACTGTTTTCTTTCTAGAATAAATTAATTTTGGTAGGAGCGTGGCATTTCCATTTTGAAGTATAATGTAACAGCTACTACACGCATGCTGCAGTGATCATGTGTTTTACTACTAGCATGACTGAGAATGTCAGCTTGCCAACTGACAGCAGTTTTACTATCATCATGTTACACTGCACATAAAATATGATTCCACACATTTGTTTTATAGGGTGGTGTTTCTGAACCTTATTAATTTAAAGGACTACTTAACTCAGAAATGAAAAGAAATTCAAGGCTGCCTGAGACAGCATTGCCACAATGGGTTTGTTTGCTGTCAAGTCAAAATTAGGTTAAACTTTGAGTTCTTGTTAATAACTTCTATGTTCTCTCATTGTGTTTGTCTCTTTCCTTGCATAGGATTGAGAAACACTGTTAATGGGTGGGTTGGGCACACAAAGTTTTGTTATCTGGAGGAAATGAGCCTGCAGATTTTAGCCTCCTCTTCTGAGAAATTATGGATGTTAAATTGCTGAATTTTTTAGCCACTGTGGTTACAGCTAGAATTAATTTGACTGCTAGGAGCTGAAATAAAATGAAAGCAAATTGAAATACCTCTCACAGGATTTAGATTCCTTGTTTTCAAGGAATGCTCTTGCATCCTCATGGGTTGAATGAGGTCTCCTACAAGTATGGAAACTCCCAAGTCTCCCTAGGTTTATATGCTAATACTAGAGGCTCAGAAATCGGTGTTGTGTATGAAGCTGTCTGTCCCCTTCCTGTTCAATGTTTGGTTAGGGAATTAGTGTTAGGAAATCACATTTAGTACATAAAATAATGTTTCTTTTAAGCTGGGTGTTACTGGGAGGCAAGTCGAAGGAGCAGGAAGCACAGCAGGGTTTGTCTGTGGTTTGTGTGCGTAGTTAAATAGTTGCTGCTTAAAATCTTGGCGGGCTTGGTGCAAGAGTCATCAGCTGCTTCAGCCCTTGCTGTTAGCAGAGGTTAAGACAGGTTTCTGTCATGTTACGCAGCCGTGGCCTCAGCAGCCCTTGGTTCTCTGCCGCTGACCGTGCTGCCTGCCAGCCAGGGAGCGAGGCCTGTGCCTGTTCCTGGGGGCTCCCTTGCTCCTTGGGAAGCGACAGTGTTATACCAGGAGCTGCAAATACCCGTGAAGGGCTGCATTTGAGAATGGAGAGTTTTTGGAAAATTCCTGTTCAAATTCCGAAGTTAGAGAGGTTTGAGGGTTCTGTTTGCATTTTTGTTTGCTAAATATAGCAAATAGTAGTTTCTTTTATTATCTGAGTGATTCATCTCTGCTTATTCATTCTGACTGCCCAGAAGATGAGGAGTCAGTAACAATTCTTGTCTGCTTTCCTGTTTCTCTCATACTGTCAAAACTGCCCATGCTTTGGTAAAGGAAAATGTTGCACATAATCCAAAAGGTTCACAGCCTTCTCTGTTTTGTGTTCACTGCAGACTGCAGGAAGAAAGGTAAAGGTGTATCAGCAGAGGGTCTTCACTGCCACGCTCACCTGAGACTAGGAGCTGGTGAGGCCTGTTGGAAATGCAGCAGAGAGAGATTGGTTCCACTCAGCATTTTATTTGGCTGCTTCCTTCTCAGTGTGAGCTACACTTCTGATTAGTAGGTCTGGATCCAAGTAATGCAGGAGGCCTTGGCATTCCTAGGTCCTAAATGGGACAGTTTGCACAATGAGGTGATGGATAGACATCCCCTGACAGGAGCAGGGCTGAAGCAGTGGGGGTCTCAAACTGGCTGTAATTTCACACTGGGCCATTGGCAGATGGAGAGGGAATTAGTAAGAATTACAAACTCAATTGTGCTTGAAAAGATTCCTCTGTGACTACTCTCCTTCTTCAAAAGTTACGGCCTTGCTGAAAGTTGTATCTTCTGTCTCTGAGGTAGATAAGATGTAGTATCAGTAGGCAGGATGCTTTCATTTGGAATGCTTTTCCTGTACCTAAATCACTGGTGCTTCCCCGTTCTCCAGGAATCAATAATAAAATCATCATTGGCTGCTGAAAACGGTTTCAGT